CTTTCACTCTGTGTGTTCTTTTGTGGAACACCAGGATTATTCTTTTCCAACACACATGCATACAACACATACACATAAATAAATATAATAAATTTAAAAACCTGCATGGCTTCTCATTGCTCTTAAAAGAAGACTGGACAGGGTTGAGGAGATGGCTCAGTCTATAATGTGCCTGCCACGCAAGCAGGAAGGAATTGAGTTCAGGTTCCTGACACCCATGTAAAAGCCAGGTTCATGTTGCAATCTGCAACACCAGCTCTTGTGGGGGCGGCAAGCAGATCCCTGGAAGTCTGTGGCCTGCCAGCCTAACCAAGCCAGTGAGCTCCTGGCCTGTAAGAGACCCTGCCTCAAAAAGCAAGGTGGAGAGCAATAGACAGAGACACTCAACAGTGACCTCTGGTCTCCACAGGCTCATGTGCACAGACACAGAGGAAAACACATATACACCACATACAAACGGAAAAAAGAATGTGTACAGTCCGCCCTCCGCGGACACTGCACATCAAAACTGTTACTGTGGGTTGGAGAGATGACTCGAAGGATAAGGGCCCTGTTGCTCATGCAAAGGATCCAGGCTTGATTCACAGCACACACATGGTAGTTCACAATCATCTGTAACACCAGTTTCATGGAATTCAGCACTCTCTATTGACCTGTGCAGGTACCAGACATGGAAATGGTGCACACATATACATGCAAAACATTCACCCGTAAAATAAAATGAATAGATCTAATAAAAAATGTTTAAATATTGCCTAGTATGCAGGAGGCCCACTCTCCAGCATCACACACACACACACACACACACACACACACACACACACACACGCACACACACGCACACGCACACACACGTACGCACACAAGCGCACACACACGCGCACACGCACACGGGCACAGACACGCACGCACACACATGCACACGCACGCACACACACACACACACACACACACACACACACTGTTAGACTGGAGTCCTTGTCTCCTTTCATGCACTTCCTCTTGGTCTTTGTGACACCCTTACTAACTACTCTTTTTCCAGGTTGCTCCCATGCTGGCCTTCCCTTTGTACTATTTTCACTTCCTGGAATGCCTGGAATTACTGGAATGCTGTTTACCCACAAGTCCCCTTCAACTAGTGATCTCCCACCCATTCACCAAACCTCAGCCGTCCTAGCTTACTCCCTGTTGAGGTAACACACAACCTGACCAAAAGTGATGTGCGGAGAAAAGGGTCTGGGTTTGGGTTCAGGGGTGAGGTTTTTGCTTACTGCTCCTAGTGCAACATCAGTGAGTGCATCATCGGGGAAGCCGAGGCAGGAACTGAGGCAGAGGAGCAGAGGAAGGTCTCCAACTGCTTTGCTCCTCGTGGCTCATTCAACTTGACTTTTATACAACGCAGACCACCTGTTCACTGTAGCACCGCCCACAGTGAGATGCACCCTCCCCACCAATCACGAATCAAGAAAATGCCCCACAGAAATGCTCACAGGAGGTCCTCAAGGCTCTAGTTTGTATGAAGTTGACCCAAACTACCCAGCAGAGCAGTTTGTCCAGGAGCCAGTAGGCTTCCTTGGCTGTGGCCAACAGAGTTCCTTCACGGCCTTTTTCCATCATTCTTGTTGTCGGTGATTGTTTCCTGCTGAAAGACTACACTTCCCAGCTTCCCTTGCAGTCATTTCTGCCCCTTTTTAAGGGGCTGCATACCATCTTCTGTAGGCATTTTGGCCACCCGCACACATGGGTGGAAAGAGGCCCCTCACTGTGAGTAAACATGGACTTGCCTAATGTCAGAGGAAGCCTCTCTTCCTTCCCACCTCTTGTCTCTCTACAGCTTCCTTTAATGATCTAACATAATGGTGTGGAAACCTGGGATGAGAAAGCTGAAACCCCCCCACACCGCCCCCACCACCACCACCGACAAACCTCCTTGACTCTCATGTGCTCCTCAGCCCTGGACTTGAGAGGGCCAGGTGGGTCCACTTGTCCCTCAGGCGGCATTTTCTTTCTTTGTCTGTCTCGGTCCTTTCTCTCTCACCCTTCTGTTTCCCCCTGATTCAGTCTGGCCTAAGTGGGAAGCCACGCTGCAACATAGCAAAACACCTGGACAAGGTAATCCATTAGGCCTAACTCAGGGGCACTACAATTAGGTCTGGGGTTCACTGGAGCGCCATCTATCTGTATTGAGACGTGCTCAGTCTAAGACTCCAACACCTTTCTACTGGCTAAGACTGGTCGAGAATTCCTGGAATTCTGCACTGGCCCATAGCTGAAAATTGAGAACCTTCCATCGATCATAGAGACGGAGATTGTTAGCATTCTGCCACTCCAGCTGCATGACCGCACATGCGCAGTTTAGCAGCTAAGCAAGGGATATTACGTCATCAGTGTACTGCGTGATTACACAAATGCGTGTAGCGCAGTCACACAAACAGCGCATGCGTGTTGTAGCTCTGTAAACCCACCTGCGCATGTGCAGGGGAGTCCTTAAAAAGCTGGACACAGACCCCTCCCTCCTCTTCTGCTCTGTCCCAGGCCTGGCCGCGCTCATTTCTGCCCGGGCCCCCCACCCCACCCCCCACTCCTCCTAACAAAGCTCTGATACTGGGTTTTGTCGTGCCTTGTGACCTCTCTCTCCCGGTAACCAGCGCCACATTTAAAACCAACAGAGATGCACCCTCCCTACTTTGCAGGCCTGTTTGACGGAATCCAAGGCCACTCCAGGAGCTTGATTTGACCCTTGTTTTTGCCTTTGTCCCTCATATACTCCAAATTTTTGGTAGAATTGGAACCAGGGACTCTCCTTCACCTTCCCATGCAAACCTGGCCACCACTGACTCAAACGTTTTATTTTTAATGTCTAAACCGATTTAGGCAACTCTGCAAGATGGAATACTACTGCGGTCCAAGGCCCCTCTCCCACAGAACTCAAGTTCACTTCACTTTTCCTCCAGGCCCTGGATTAAAAACACGCTTAGAGTGAGAGCTGCAATGCCTGCCGCCGTTTCTGCTGGGACTCCAAACTTGTATCTATTCCTAACTGAGGTAGCATAGAACCCTTTTGCTTCATGCTTTTGGCCTACTTCTTCTATTCCTCCAAGCCTGAAAAATCCTGCTTGTATGTATAGTTAGCATTCCAAAAATGCATATTATATCAAAATCTGTAAGTGTGATTTTAAAAGGCAGTGTCAGAATACGTAAACTTGGTTTTAAAAGGCTCCAAATTCCAAACAGAAAAAGTTAGCTTAAACTCTATAACATAAAATGATTAATAGTACAAAGTCTGTGCAAATCATCTGAATTTGCTACAGCATACTATGTATGTAACTTGGATTCAGTTCTTGTTTAGGAAATCAGTGTGTGCCTGATGGACTCGCCTTGGAGTACCATGTGGCTTGCAGCCATCTTGGCGGGTGACCCCATCAGGATGGAAGCATGCCATGGGACTTGACCACCATCTTGTTAAGGTGATCACGTGGTATCCCTCTGCTGGTCATTGTATCCCTGTTTTTAGACTAAGAGAGGCAACGCTAGGCTTCCAAGATGGTTTGTTTTAAAATTAGCTCATATAAAAACTGTGATATTTTTGCTATCTTCATTAAGCTTTAGCTATTTGGAGAAACTTAGTCATATAAAAAAATCTGGCATTTTGTAAAAATTCATTACAAAAAGATCTTTAATTCAAGAATTATAATCTTTTAAGGCTCAAACTTAGCAGGGATAAAATTGTAAAATCCTAATCTTATGAAAGGTACCAACTCATAAACTATTAGAGATAATTGGGAATGTACAAATTAATGATCAATCAAGATCGGCACAAATGTAATTCATTTACTGGGACAAGCTTGGACAGAAAGACCAATTTTTATCTCCCCATCATACAGTATTCTGCATATGTTGTCAAAATTAAGTCTACAATGAGTAAATTAAAACAGGTTTAAAGTAAACTTAAAGTTTGCCTAATGTAGAATAATATTTAAAATCAGGTATATAAAAATTGGTTATGACAACTGAGTGATTGAGTAAATGGTTAAAATTACAATATTTGCATAGAAGGACACTCCCAGGCTCAGGAAATCCCCTTGGATGGGGCACAAGTCACCCCACTAGAGTATTGTGTACAAGCCTCATTACAGGACAAGGATGCATGGGAAACGTGATCTGCCAGAAGTCTGCTGCTTCTGCCTCCAGCTGCATAGACCTGGCCAGCTCTGACTGTAGCCCTGACAAGCTTTAGCCATGTAGCCAAATCAGAAAAACAAACAAACAAACAAGCAAACTCCCTCCTCTTTGTGTAAAGATGTATTATTCCTGATGTCCCACATGTCAGAGGGATGGATTTTCTTGCCCATGGAGGGTCTTAGTTTTCACCCACATCCTAACTGCCTCAAACAGAGATGCAGATAGCAATGACTTTGCCCCAAATGTGCCCCAAACTGACATATGGGGGTTCTGTGAACAGGGGAAACTTGTACTTAAGCCCACCACCTACCTGGTATAAGACCTGCATGCTAGTTCAATTGGTCATGCCCTTTACCCTATCATTCAGTTCTTTCTCTTAGCAAAAGCTAGTTTCAGGATCTATACCCTAACCATCCATGTTTCCTCATTTTCCCCCAACTTAATATCATAATTAATTAATTGGAATTTCATAAACTGTATCCCAATCACATTTACTTTCCATTCCTCCCAGATCCACCCTCACACACACACACACACACACACACACACACACACACACACACACACACACACTCACACACAGGAAAAAAAGAAAAAATATATCAAGTCCAATTTGTGTTGCCCATATACTCATTGGAGCGTGGTCAAACTCTCAGTGCCCAGCCCCTTAAGGAAAGCAGAGTCCTTCCCCACCCACCGCCAGAAGCCATCAAACGGGAGGAGCTGCACTTCAGCGTCTTTATCACAATTTTTAAGGACTCTCTTCAATAGCTTCTTGTCTGGGCTGTTTCTGTTGTGTGTGGGGGGAGGTTGTCACAGAAGCCTGCAAAGTCTCTCAGTCTCAGTTATGAGTCTGAAGTCATCGTTACTACTGCAAAAGAACCTTCCCTGCCGCACAGGTCAGGGACATCAACATGGTTTCCCGAGACAGCTCGGGTTACAGACATCAACATGGTTTCCGGCGGCAGCACAGGTCACAGAAGTCTTTCAAGGAGACTTTACTCAGAAAACGAACCATTCTTCATCCTGGATGTGTTGCTGTTGCTGAGAACCAGGGTGATCTCGCGGTTGGGCAGCATGTCCAGGGGAGGACCTGCACGAGCTCCAGGCTGCTGTACACCACCTTGCCCTCCACACCAGCCACCCTGCTGATACCTCAGGTACAACCGTTGTGTTTGCAGCCCTCCCTGGTGTCTTCACCCCCACACCATCTCCTTCCTCCTGCCTGCCTGCAATCAGTTCCCCGGAACCCAGTGCCCTCCCAGTACTAATTTCCAAACCCTGCTCAGCTAGGCCCCAACCGTCTCCCTACCTCAGCTGTAGTGCCCCACCCCCATGTCTCCCCAATAAAGAAGGATGCCAGATATTCTGTCATCAAACTCACAGCTTTGGAAAGTTTTTCAGAATACCCAAGTGGTGTCTTTGACAGTTGATTTTATATCTGTAGAGTCAACAACTGATTCTATTAAGTGATGTCCCAAGACTTTAGATTCTTCAGGAGAAGGTGACTTAGGTGAAGGGGTTCTCTCCGACCTGGGCTCGCCTGTGGTGCTTTGAGAATATAATCTAGTCTCTACCCAGATAGAGAGCTCCAGAACCAGCCCCTATGTTCCTACCTTGAAGCCTACAAGGAGTGCACAGGCTTTAGCAGTGATGCTGTGGATGTTTTCTAAGAAATTCCAAAAGTCAGTATTTGGCAAAGGTCATTTGATTTGGTTATTTTAGTTTACAAATTATGCCTCTAAACACCGTTGGTGGTTTGAAAGAACATGTCCCCCAAAGGGAGTGGCACTATTAGGAGGTGTGGTCTTGTTGGAGGACACAGTGTGTCACTGTGGGGGCAGGCTTTGAGTTCTCCTATGCTCAAGCTATTCCCATTGACAGTCTGCTTCCTGATGCCTTCTGATCAAGATGTAGCCAGCACCACATCTGCCTGCACACCGCCATGCTCCCCATCATGATGATAATGGACCGAACCTCTGAACTGTAAGCCACCACCACAATTAAACATTTTCCTTTGTAAGAGCTGCCGTGTTCATGGTGTCTCTTCACAGCAACAGAAACCCTAACTAAGACAACACCCAGTCTATTTTAAATAAAATGATGTTAAGAAATACCGTTACCTCAGTCAGCAGATGGTGAACTGGAGATTTGTCCATTGGCAGAAGGAGGAAAGAGTTGGCTTTCGCCTTCTTTGTCAATTAAGTTTGTTACATGTGTGTTATTTATTACAGATTTAACATGACTGACTGCTTTCGTCTTTCATCTGTTGGTTGAGTGTATGGAATGAAATGTAGAGACTTTTGTTAAGGTTCTGTTAATATGGTTAATTTTAGAAAATTTTTGTAAAATGAATCATTTACTCTTGACAAGGCAGTCACTGTTTCCGTGAGTATACTCTTTAAATTAGAAGTTGAAAATTATAGGAATACAACAGAATTAAATTGTCTCTTCATGCATCCTGATATTTACTATATAATCTTTGAATATAGGTATAACAATTTGATGTTAACAAAAATATATATTAAGTCATGTTTTCAAATACTAGATGTGGTCATTTAAGGTAATAGTCCCAATTTTTACAAATTTTAACCTTAGCAAATTGTTTCCAACCAAAAATGTATTTTATTTGAAGTACTATGTTTGTGTTTATTAAATAATAGCTGGTATTGTCAATACTTAAAACAAAATAAAAAGTCCATCATACTTGGAAAAAAGGACTGTCACTTAGACACTTTCTGTTCAGATTCATTCCTTGTGCGCTGACTCTGACTGACTTCTTTTACAAAGCCTCCAGGTCCTTGTCCCTTATGCATGAGTCTGATGTAACAAACAGCTATTTACAATCACCTCATACTTCTACAGAACTCTGGTGTACAATTGCATTTAACTCATGTTAATCGTGATATAAAAGTTTTCCTCATAAAACTTTGTCTCTTAATGTTCCCCCAAAAGTTGTGCAGTAATTACCTCCTGACTTATGTTCTGGATCTTTGCCAACTGTTAAGTTTTGTCATGGCCTCTAGGATGGACCCTCTTCTGAGGCACTCTAACTGATGTCGCCTTTCTGTCAGCCTTGAAGCAATTACCAAGAGACTGATGTCCCTGAACCCCTAAAAGCAATTCAGGTGACCTCTGAAAGGGGACTAATGTGCTGTGGCCATCCACCTCATCCCTCTGCTTGTCACTCTGGACGTTGGTTTGGGGACCTCTCAGTCTCTCCAGCTCAGCTTGACATCCTTCAGGACCAGCTGGACTCCTGCCTAGTGCAGTACTCCACAGTCTGAAAGGACTAGATCCGACCACTGCTAAGGACGGATGTGTGCCCTCCACTGTGAACATGCTGCCTCCAGGCCGACAAATCCTAACTGGATTAAAATGGGCCCAAAAGAGACAGCCGGACAAAAATTCCTTCTGGTTCTCCCCACTCTGGGTTCTCCCCCGAATTACTTCTTTAATCCTTGCTGTCTTCATACTTACGTTTTTACCCTGTCTTTTAAATATTTTACTTACTGAACTTCCCCCCTATACCCAAACAAAATGTCCCACACAAGTGCTCCCAATGACTTTCAAGCTCCATGTGTTTCTGATACATCTGCAAAAAGACCTTTTAGATGCTGTAGAGAAACTCTGCCTAAAGAGACCTTCACTCCTGTCACCCAGGGCCAGATACAGTTCCTTACATTGGTCTTCTGTTTTCTCCTGTTCCCTTCCTCTGTGCCTCCCTGCTACTTCTGCTAGCTCATTTGGGTACAGCAGTCTTGGCAATGGGACCAGTCACTGTCACCTTGAATCAACTCTATGCCCACTTCCTCTCACCCGCCCACTTCATTTCTCCCTCAGCCTTCCCAGAAAATCTGTCCATTTCACTCCACAAGTCATCTACATACAACCCTCTAACACGTGTTCCCAAGTCTCTTCAGGAATTCAAGAGGCAATTTCCTGATTCATCACAGCCAATCAAATTAAGATTCTGCCCCTGCTACATGACCAGAGGACCCCCTCTTCAATGGACCCAGAACTATCCACTCTGACAAAAGATCCTCCTCAGCAGAAAACAGCTATAATGCCCTGCCCCCATTTTTATACCCTCTCAGAGTTAGGAATGATGGTTTCTTGCTGAAATACTACACGTCGCATTTTCCCTTGCTGACGACAGAAGTTATTCCCACCCCAATAAAGAGCCACATCCCATCTTCTTCCGTAGGCATTTTGGACATCTGCATACATGGATGACTAAAGGGCCCCCTTGTCTGAATAAATGTGGTCCCGCCTAAGGCCAGACCTGGTCTCTCTTCCGTTCTGCTTTCCATCTCTCTACAGCTGCCCTTAATAATCCAGCAGTCACAAGAGAAAGCCCTCATGTTTTGCGTGCGTCTTTGGTTCATGTGTCTCTGCTCTCCCCAGTCTGTAGTTCCAGGAGAGAGGGGTACTGTCCATCCTGCACATTTGCTGGACGTTCCAAACTTTACAGGCTGTAAGGCATCCTTCATGGCTACTAAATTCTCTCAAGCTGAAGAACTATGCCAGGAGCACTAGTCTGGGTTTTCTTGTCTTTTTCCAGTTCTGGGAATTAACTTAGGGCCTCATACATGCTAGTGTTCTACTGTCAGCCTATGTTTCCATCCCTGATCTAGTCTGTTTGTTTATTTATTTATTTTTTAGATTTATTTTATTTCACGTGTAGAAGTAGTTTGCCTTCGTGTATGTATGTGCATCACGTGTGCAGTGCCCATGAAGAGGAAGGCATTGGATTCTCAGACTGAAGTTACAGATGATTGTGAACCTCCATATGAGTACTGAGAGCCAAACCCTGGTCTCTGCAAGGACCATAAGTGCTCTTAACTCCTGAGCCAACTCCTCAGCCGCTAGGTGTTTTTATTCTTTAAGTCACTCTTTGTGGGAGATGATAGAGTGCCTCTCCTGTGAAAGCATATTCCTGAGGGGTTACAGATAATCCTGCTCTACCTTGCTTGACCATCCTAGAGAAGAATGTCTGTTGGGAAGATGTCTCACCTTGAGCGGGACCTTCAGGAGGGAAGCCATGAGCTATGTGCTGCAACTCTTTCCACCCCTCATCCTGCCTCTAGAAAGGGTCTCAGCCATCTTTGTCTCTAGCAGACCATTTAACTTCCCTTGGGAGACAGTCTGCTTCTTGCTGTGTGCACTATAACCACAGTTCTGTCTGTTGAAGGTCTCTTGTCTCTTTTCTGCCTCCTGTTCCGTTAAGCGGCCTCCATTCTCTAACAGGTAGGAGTATTGCCTTTAGTAGAACAGTAGGAGATGCTTTTCATCACTAAGAGGGTGTTGACTGAATTGATCAGTTTTATCAGTTGTCTCTAGTTGTCAATATGTCCATCTTTTTCTATTTATTTTAGTAAATGGCCAATTCTTACATATTTCTTCAACCTTCTCTACAGACTGAGATTTCAAAACAGAAAAGGCAAAAAGAGAAGTGAAGCTGGTGTGTTTTGAGCACAGTGGGATCTGTCTCAGCTTTTGCTTTTGAAGTGTGTGTGTGTGTGTGTGTGTGTGTGTGTGTGTGTGTGTGTGTGTGTGTGTACCATGTACGAGCGGCACCACAGAAGCCAGTGGAGGTCATCAGATCTGGAGCTGGAGACACAGGCAATTTGAAGCTGTCCCATGTGGGTTCTGGGAATGGAATCTAGGTCTTCTGCAAGAGCAGAAAGTGCTCTTAACCACCGCACCAGCCATCTCTCCAGCACCCCTGCCCCCTTCTTGGATTTTAGTGAGCTTAACTTGGGGGGCTAGAGTGTCTGAAGGCTGCCTAAGCCACCCTGGGCTGGTGGTTTCCAGCGCTTGTCATCTCACACTCAGGAAGACTGAGAAAGAAGCCGAGGAGGAGATTTGTTAGGAGACTGAGGGAAACACTGGGGGGGGGGGGGGGCCTCGAAGGGAGGAGCAGCACTGCCTTGTGGGCCTGGAGGATCTTATGTAGGGGTGGTATGGAGACTGAGGTCACCTTCTGTAGAGCTGGGCACTTCGGAATGCTTCATGGTCCAAGTCAGCAGGGAGCCACACACCTTTTCTATGCTTTCTCAGCCCAGCTAAGGAGTTCTTCTCCTTTCAAGGGAGAGGTTACTTTCCTGTGCTGCATTTCCGCCTAATGACCCACCATGGGCCCTGCCCTTACTCTTAAAGGGAGCTATCTCCTGTCTCGGGGCTTTGTGTAGAAATCTTCAAGAGGACTTACTCGACAGGGCTCCTGGCTCTTTGCCTCACCTTTCTTCTCTTTTTTTTTTTTTGCTCAGCACATGGATATGTTGTTCCAAGCCGCAGCAGCCATATTGGATTGCAAGGCCGTCTTAACGGCGTGACTCAGTACTAAAACTGGACGGATAACAAAAGCAGAGAACCTTGGGTCCTAGAGGAACAGGCACAGCCATATCCTGTTCTAGCTACTCCAGATAGGTTTGGGGAGGAAAAGGTAGAAATGATCATTACATTCTGAAGCCACCAGTGTCCGACCTATTTCCAGAAGCCAAAAAATTCCTGAGGAGACCATCCATCAAATGAATAAACCCAGATCCTGCCACCTTGCAACTTCCTGAGGAGGACACAGAGGACCCAGGGAAGGAAAAACCACCAGGAATCATCAATCCACCTGCATCCTAGGAACAGCTGTCCTAGGAATGCAGGTAGTGAATGATTCATAGTTTCCAGTGAAAGGCTCATACTCTTCATGACAAAAGACATCTTCTGTTACTGTTCTAAAACAAGTTTAGCATCAACCAGATCATTATTTTTAAACAAGTGTGTGCATGCAAATGCATGTTTGAATGTATGTCCAGGTGCACATGCCCACATGCATGCAGCATGTATTTAGAGCCAGAGGATGACCTCAGGTGTCATCCCTCAGAAAAGCAGCCCACCTCCTTTGGAGGCAGCTTCTTGCATTGATCTGGAGTTCCTGTTAGGCTGCCCAGCTGGCTAGCAGGCCCTAAGGCTCCTCCTGCCTCTGCCTCCAGCCCTAGGATTGTGTGTGTGCTGGAAGTCTGGCATTTCTACAAGGATTCTGAGATGGACCCCAGCCTCTATGATGTATACCATGAAGTTTGCAGCTTTTTGTACATGAAATCAGCTTGGTTTAAATGGAAGTGAAAGGTGACATTAAATGATCATGGTGTGTGCCAGGTTCATTGTGTACATCCTTTCCCCTGACCCTCACCATAGTCTGTGAGGTTGACATTGGGTACACTGTCGATAAGGAAACAGGGTCAGGAAGGTAAGTGTCTCTCCTGGGGTCTCTCAGACACAAATAAGATCGGATTAAACCTCTCAGCCTTTGCATGCTGTGCTCCGACTCTTAACCTCGTCTGCCTCAAGGGCAGCAACTGCTAGTGTCTTCAGTGTGTGGCTGATACCTCCCCAGGTCCGCTTCTTCGTGGAGTTTATCTTTGGAAACTTCTTGTGGGTTGAATTTTACCCCACAAATGATACACAGAAGTCCAAGCTTCCTGTGGGAATGTGGCTTTACTTGGAAACAAGATATTTGTGGTCATAATTAGTTTAGATGAAGCCATATTAGAGTAGGGAGAGCCCTAACCAGCAACAACTATCCATCCAAAAGGGAAATCTGGGTCCAAAGACAGATACAAGGGGACATCGTATGAAGACAGAAAGGGGTTGAAATGTGTCTCCCAGCCACAGAAGGCAGCAGGTGCCAGGCAGCATCCTGGGGCTGGAAGTCACTAGGAAGGAAAGTCCCCAAGAGCCTTTGCAGTCGACAGAGCCCTGCTTACACCTTGGTTTCGGGTTTCTGGCCTTCGGAACTGCATGAGAAGAACTCGGCCGGATCAGGTTTCTGTATCTGTGGCTATTTGCTGCAGCAGTCCTGGGAAACTAACAGGAAAGTTAGGCTGGCTTGGTTTCAGCAGTAACATATGTCTGGTTGGGCGTTCTGTGCCATACTGTCTGATAAGAGTTGGACACTGGCCAGAGCGGCTGGTCAGTTGTCCAGTACCTGCCCCTGCCCATCCCAGAAATGCACTGGGAAGCCGAGAGGGAGAGAGAGTCAACAGACCGAGTGAGAGAGTAAGAGTCAGTGCGGTGGGTGCCAGAGGCCAAAGAACTGAGCTGCGCCAGCAAGACATGAGCAAAACAAGTTTCCTGCACAGAGATGCAGGAGCCCCATCACTGAACTGTGGAGAGCTAAAGAGATGCGTCTGCCAGTTGCCCAGAACAAGGCCATAAACAGTAAACCAGCTTGGTCCTGTGTTTAGGTTCTGAGCATCTGCTGCATTTGGACCAGCTAAAACCTGCTGAGTAGAAATTGGCTCCAATGTTTGATTTTGTGCAATATCAGGGGTATTGTTAATGAGTTCAGTAACAGGGTCCAGTTAACTGAAGCACATGCTTAGAGTCATGGGGGAGACAATTACTCCAAAGGTACACTCTGAAATGTATGAAATTGCTAGTAAGCAAAAGAAGCCAAATGGATGTTCTTGTTAAGACGAGACTGAGTAGAGGAGACCATGGGTTGAATCGTGTCTCCAACTTGCTTCCTTGTTATCTGCCTTAGCTCACACTCTGAGCAACTTCACTAAGGCTTAAATTTTGGCTTTACAGAGCCACTCACTCTGTGGGAAACAGAAACAAAACCGGTCCCTTCCACTTAGAGACTTTGTAGGACAGATCAACACTTGGGAATCTTTTTTGCTTTTCTGACACCAGGCCCTTCCCTGTCCGTGAGGAACCTTCTCAAACACTTGGAACTTAGCCAACCACTTCCCAGTCCCCTGTTGTTGTTTTGTGTTTTGCTCTTCATGCATGCATGGTGTGTCTGTGTGTGTGAGAGAGACAGAGACAGCACACACACACACACACACAGAGAGACGTGTACTTTTGCATGTATATGAAGATGCAGGTGCCCGTGGGACAGAAGAAGACTTGGAGTGTCTTATTCTATCACTCTCTGCCTCATTCCCTTCACACAGGGTTTCTCACTGACTCCAGAGTCAGGCTGGCAGCCAGCAAGCCCCTGGTATTCTTCTGTCTCTACCCCCTTCAACAATGGAGTTACTAGCGTCACAGCCACCCAGAGTTTTACATGAGTCCTGGATCCAGACTGGGCCTTCACGCTTGTACACAAGCATCCTTCCCCACTAGTCCATCTCCCCATCCTCCCTAAGCCCTTGTGCCCCCGGGGGTCATGTGACCGACAAGGCTCGCCAACCATAGTCCTCTACCTTCCTGTGACAATGATCGACTCCAGAAGAGGAAGTGATTCATCTGGGACTCCCTGTATCTCATGCAGATCATCAGACCTGCATATTGGTGTTTCTCTTTTCTCTAAGGGCACTAGCTGTGAGACTGTACACATGAAACTACTGTGATCTTGTGGCCTCTGTGAGGAGCAAACAGGCTGAGAATTAGGTCAACGGAGATGAAAGGCGACAGAGGACGGTGGGAGAAAGGTAGATTCCTTGATCCTGGGCATCTGAATTCCACCCTTGACCTTTGAAGTTACCTGAGTCACTTTGAACAACCCTGAATGGTAGAGGTGTCCTCCTTTGCTGAATCCATGCTAAATTCATAATCCAAGGCACCCAGTAGGTGCCATAGGAAATTGAATCACTTCTAAAGCCATAAACACTGCCAGTCCTGGGGGAGGGGGAGGGGTGGGGTGCAGCGGAAAGAACTCTTCAAACTGCAACACACTCAGATGAGACAAGAATGCTAGATCTTAACTTCAGGTGTCTCTTCTACATAGCTTCAAGTTTAATGTGTGAGTATTTACTTATTTGTTTGTTTGTTTGTTTGTTAGGGGGTAGGTAGTAGGTACCCACAGACCCCAGCAAGTGTGGAGGTTAGAGGACAACTTTGGAGAGTCAGTTTTTAGGTCCCAGGGACTGAACTCCAGTTATCAGGTTTGGCAGCAAGTGAGTTTACACTCAGAGCTATCTCACTAGTTCTTAAATAGATAGATAGATAGATAGATAGATAGATAGATAGATAGATAGATAGATAAAGCCAAGTAGTCTTCAGACAACATATCCATGTTAGGATATAGGCTTGACCCTTAACACATGATTTAATGTTTAAGTCAATGTAGTTAAACCACACACACACACACAGAAACAGAGAGAGAGAGAGAGAGAGAGAGAGAGAGAGAGAGAGAGAGAGAGAGAGAGAGAGAGAGAGGCTGGCTCATTTTCTTGAAGCTGCAAGCATATTGAAAGGTTTTCTGCATTACTTTAAATGGCCAGGCTATAAAAACACTTTTAAGGAAATGTAATCGTAAGACTCCCAAGGAAACACTAAAATGGAGCCAGGTTTTAAAGCAATTTTGGAGCACTGTGAGAGCAGTTGTGAAGGTCCAGCCACAATGAAGAGTGCAGGAGGATTTGTGATCAACGTGTTAAACTGTGTGCAAATTCATTTTTCCATTTCTGTAAGTGCTCAAGACAACATGTTCTCTTAGGAAGTTAAATGTTCCCTGCACAATACCGATTGTGTTCTTAATAACAAAAACTTACATCCACACCGGGCATGTGTGTATAACCCATAACCCTAGCACTCAAGAGGCTGAGGCAACCTGAGCTACATAGTGAGATTCTATCACAAAAATAAATGCATACATAAATAAAATTTAAAAGTTACACCTGAAACTACACTAGTCTAAAATGCTAGACAAATATTAGCAATGTAAATCCCAACCCACTGTGTATGTAAGCCTCCAAATTTCTAAGTTGACATCAGCATTTTGCCCATACAATGATGAAACTGAATCACCACATCCCCTTGTCAAATAATGACATCTAGACTGGTGCTTCCCCTATGAAAAACCAAGTCTGAAACAGTCATTTCTCTGAAGAGCTAAAACCCTGTTCATTGAACAAACAACCGCGCTTTCCTGCCTTAAGACAGCCTGAAAATTCAGAAATAAAATCTGAATTACTCGTATGTAATTTCAGTGTTTTCCAGCACCTAAACAAAAAGGTCTCAATAGCATACAGAGTACACTGAAGCAAGGCAAATTAGCTTCGTTCTGATCAAGAAAATCAAATATATTGCAAATTTCTTTCTCAAACAGGAACTTCTCAGAACTAAATCCAGGGCTGAATAAATCACAGGGTGGTATTTCCAGACATTTTTATTACTGTGAAATCAAACCTTGAAAATGTCTGGCAGCCACTATGTTTTATGGTGCTTAAGCAGCTCCATCACTGGCACGAGATGTCTTAAAAGATGCTGCTCAGTACCCATTCAGGAGTTCATTCACGAGGCTGAAGTTCATCCTCCAGGCCTCAGTGTGGGAGAAGTCAAGGCTGGAGGTCAGAGGGCACAGCTGAGGGGCTGTTGAGAAGATTGTCAAAAATGAAATGAATGTTAGCTGGGCATGGTGACACACACCTGTAATGCCAGCGTTCAGGAAGCAGAGGCAGGAGAATTGTTGTGGTTGCTGCAGGTTCAGCCCACTCTACACAATATGTTCCAGAGATCCTGTCTCAAAAACAGTTGTCTTTCAGGGACTCTGCCCCCTGCACAGCATGGTCATGGGCATCTTACTCAAAACAGACAATCCAGTATCCACCAGTGATGAGTGGGTTCAAAACCCACCGAGACAGGAAGGGAGGTCCAACAGCTGGAACAATATGGACGAACTTTGAGGCAATTCTACTAAGTGAAATAAGTCCATCACAGAGACAAATACTGCAGGATTCCACATGAGATTCAGGAACTGTCCATTCACAGGGACAGGAAGTAGACATATTGCTAGCAGGTGCTGGGAGGAGGGGGGAGCTGTTTAATGGGTATAGAATGTGCCTGTGTCCTCTCTGTTAGCCAATTGCCACCATGCAGGAACTGGGCCCAGTATTATATGCATATATTTCAAGAGAAATCTCAAAGTCACAGTTTTTAATGAGACATCCTTTTCTTCTTTAACTTGGTGCTAAGTTTTTTAGGTACTTCAAGTCAAACAAAATGTGTGCACAGGCCTCTGATGTACTCAGTAGGTTAGCAACTGTTGGTCCCAGAGAGAAAACTGAGCCCTGACACATCAGTGGGTGCCACCAAGCATTTCCTGTCTGCAAAGATCATTTCCTGTTGGGGCTGTCATTCTCCTTCATGAGAGGAGGCACAGGCATGCGTCCCGACCACAACCTTACTCTAGGCTGTGAACTCATGGAAA